GTTTGTAACTTCCTTTTGGGCCTTTTGGGCATAAATAAAATTGAGAAAATTGAGATTCCCATTTGAACAGAAACAGAAGGAGTAGTGCAAGTGAGAAATAGTTTCTTTGAACTTTGAACCTACTGGTTGCTCAAAATGAACAGTGACTCCTCTCAAATCTGCTCTAGAGCAAATCTGAGGATGTGTACATGTGAAAGGGGTGGGGAAAACCAGAGAAGAACAAAGGGCTGCTCTATTTTGCAAATGGAATTCAGCTTGTGTCATACTGAATGTAGCCAGAATTCATTCCCATCTTAATAATTCATGAGACAACTACATCCAGCCCCATTTTTTATAACTGTTCTTGTCTTTATAAGTAAAACTGTCTTTAGACTTTTTACACTATCATGAAAATATATACATTGTCCCCAAATTCCTCCTAAGTATTAAAAAATACAAAATGCCTATAGGTACTCCTTGGGTTACAACCATTCATTCAGTTACTGTTCAAAGTTATGATGCTAAACAAATGGTAGTTATGACCAGTCTTCAAAGTTCTGGCTGTTGCAGTGCTCTGTGGTCACGTGACCAAAATTCGGGCACTCAGCAGCCCACCCACATTTATGACAGCAGTGTGTACTTCAACTCCCCTACCTGCCTATCTCCCTCCATCTCTGCTCATTTGGCCACCCTGCACTCTGCTGCCTACCCTGCTGCCCCTCACCACCCCCAGCTGATCTTTGTCATCTACTTCCTCCTGCTACTGAGAAGGTGCACCCAGCCAAGGCAGCTACTGGGCCTTTGCAAGGCTTCAGGGAGGCCACGCAAGGAGCCTCGTGAGGCTTTGGGTGGGGCCTCACAAGGCTTTGGGGAGGCCACCTGAGGGGTCTCACAAGGCTTTGGAGAGGCCTCGTGAAGAGCCAGCAGCTGCCTCAGCCAGGTGCAACTCATCAGCAGTGGGAAGAAGACGGTGAAGGTCAACTGGGGCAGCAGGGGTAGTGGTGGTGGAGTATAGGGTGACAAAAAGGGCAAAGATGGGGGGAGATAGGTGGGTGGGGGGAGGTGAAGCAGAAAAGTTGAAGCATGAGGTCCTGACCAAACGGTGGCGCGGTCCTGGCCTAACAACTGCAACCAGAACTACCGTTGCTAAGCAGTGCGGTCACACGATGTTTCACCTAATGACTGCTTTGCTTAGCAATGGAAATTCCAGTCCCGGGTCGTAACCCAAGGACTACCTGTACTCACTCTAGGCCAATATTCAATGGATTGCAAATGAAATTCTGGTGAGCTACACTTTTTGTACTGCTCTAGTTTAAAAAATTACCTTATTTTCCTTGGTATTACTTATAGTTATAAGTAATACACAAAGTTATTACAAACTTCATACACAAACTTATGTACAAACAATTGAAAACACCCCTTACTATAAAGATTTCTTGTCTGAAAGATTTATGAAAGCACTACAAACACAAGAATTGAAAGCAGTTCTAGCCCATTAAATTTATGTTCTGCACATATTATACATCATATTGAATATAATATCTCCAAAATACCAATTCAGCTACTGAAATACTGTTTGGTAGCAAAAAAAAAAAGGGGGGGGGAAGTAATTCCACCTATAATCTCTTAAACAGAGTGAAATTTGATATAAGCACTTAAAATGATAAAGACATACTCTCTGTCCATTCGAACGCCACATATACAGAGCATTCTACAATTTGGAAGTGGTACTTACTGGTTCAAGATAGGACAACACATAGAAGACAATCAGATTATCTAAAAAATAAAGAAAAGCTGGAATTGACCACTTTATGTAGCTATACAATTGCCTCCATGAGCTGCAGCCAAATCCACTATGGGAATATCCTCCTAAAAAGAAAAAGAATTAAGAAGAAAAGAAAAATAATTCAACACATTAATTATTAATGTATATCTACACTGTCCTCAGCCCATATGATTATTGTTGGTTTCAAAGAGAACAAAGCACTAGAGACAGACTCCTTAAGAAATTCATAATTGGAAGCCTCCTCATTATACACAGATATGAAACTTTACCAGGCTTTCCTAGAAAGATGCTTGAACCATATTCAAATTGAAATTTTGATATCTGAAATCTGATCTGCATAATTTTCTTTTTTCTATGTAAGACCCTTATCTGGGAAATTTATCTCATATAATTTTTGTGTTAAATCATTCTGTGTAGAAAAGTGGACGGCTGCTGGACCTCTGGACCAATTCTGCCAGATGTTTGGTCTGATTTAATAAGGAATGATTTCTCCTAATATAATCATATATGTTAAGATTATTAGCATTTATTTCATATTTTTTCATCATCAGCATAAAGATGCTGATGATGGAATAATATTTTTTCTAAATCCTCTTTTCTGCAATATTTTCCCATGTCACTCAAGGAACTATGCTTTCGAGACCAATTCCTGAAGTCTTCTTGGATTCAGGAGCAAATTTCATGAGTCTAGACTCCTAGTCTATTCATATTTTCTAGCAAGCATTTCACTTCATAAATACAACACAAGGCATTCATGTATTGTTCTATAGCACCACTATGAATTTATAAAGTGCTTATAAAGAATTGTACATAATCTGGACTATATTTCAAACAACTATTAATCATACTTTATTAATCTAGAAGAGGAAGATGAAAAATATTTTCCTAGAGATTTGTTACTACACACTTAGTCTGAGTAGCTCAATTAAATCTCAAAAAGATTTATAGAACTAAAGAGACATCCTAATTTCTGTTGGCCAATCTTTTCTCAGATAATCCATTTTCAACACTGATGGCCTGTGAATAATCCACAGGAGCAACAAACAGGGAGCAAGATACTATAGTAAGGTCATTTATAATACATTATTATACAGATTAAAAGGAAGAATTCTTCATCATTTCACTGATACAGAAAAGAATAGGTTGTTACTACTTTTTATAGCCAAATATTACAATTATTACATTCAATTCCTAAGATGTCTCAGACTATACAGATTTTTTTTTTTAAATTCAAAAGAAATGACTTCAATTTTCAGTGAAATAACACTACAAGCAGTATATGGGATCGCTATGATGTAAAAACACATTCTAAATTATTGAAAATACAGATAGTCCTTGGTTAACGACAGTAATTGGGACTGGATTTTTCATCGCTAAGTGATGTGGTTGTAAAGTGTGATATCACATGAGTGTGCCACTTAGTAATAGCAGTTCCGGCACTTCCAGTTGCTGTTGTTAAGCGAAACCTGCTTCATTCGTAAGTGTGATGTCATACGGTCGCCATTTGCAATTTCCTGCCGGCTTCCCCATTGACTTTGTTTATTGGAAGCTGGCAGTGAAGGTCACAAACGGCGAACATGTGACCATGGGATGCTGTGAGCTGGTCGCTGAGTGCCTGGGTCGTGATCACTTGACCGCAGAGACACTGTGACAGTGGGAACATTGAGGACTGGTTGCAAGTACCACTCATTCAGCAAAAACCACTTGTACATTAACACATACTAAGCAACAAGAGCCCCTTCATGGATCACTGCCTTGTCGTGGCGAAGGGGCTTGCGTAACTCAGTGAAGCCATGAGCTATACCGT